TCCTTAGCATCAAACATATCATATAGACAAACAAAAGCTATAGCTTTAGCTTTGCACGTTATATTTTTCCTAGATTTTTAACTTTCATATAATCATTATAAATCTTAGTGGTATCAACTTTCACCACTATTTAAAAGCATATCTTTTAATAATATTTTGCATCTCTTAATTCCACCACTAATCATTATAAGTCACATTGTCAATGTACAATCTATTTTTAAACTCTCTAAAACTTCTATGATAATAATTTTTTTTCACTAATAAATCTTAGAGAAATTATTTATTTTGGTTTTTTTTAATAATATTAAAATAGACATTTAATTATTACTCTAAATTGTGTGATAAAACTCCTAGAACTCCTAAAAAACCATGTAGCAATTTCACACGTTATAAAACAAGCCAATTTGTAATTCAGTAGCTCCATTGTTATAAGTAACTAAGTTTTCTTACTTCCTAAAGTGTGTGCCGGCTTGTGTGCTGGCTATTGCAAAATCATAAGATACTATGAAAACAAATATATCTTCTAATATTGCATTTCTATCTCTTATTCTATACCATTATAAATCCTCTCATAAATCATCATAGCATAATTTAGATACACGTTTAAATAAATTCCCATAAAAACACTTTCATAGTTAAATATATGTCTGTAGTAGTTCATCCATCTCTTCTCAAAAATGATTTTTTAAAACCTTGTCTAATTTATTGAAAATCATAAAAGCTAAACAACTTCAAAATACACTAATCTATAATTATCTTCATGGAAATCACCTTATCACGACACTTCATCAACTACTACCCCAATACATTTCATATTTTGAAGCTTTTCAATAAACAAAAACTTCAAAATCCTCAAATCTCCTTAGAATTTTCACATTTTCATTTTGTTCCAAGTAAAAAAAGCAATATTGCTTGTTATTCTAATCATAGTATCCACCAATTCTCATTTTCTCAGCCAAAATCCCTCAACTTCATACAGCAAATAAAATCATGGACTCAAACATTATCAATCCTTGTTTTTTAACCACAATTGGGTTAAAAACATCATAGAAATATACATTTGAAAATAAAATCTTAACCTGCATAGAGAAATTGAAGGTCATAAACTCCACTACTGGCCGCAAACCATAATATGCTGCGCCAACTCCAATTCCCGCAAATCCAGCCTACAAATCATAAGAAACATGGCAAAGTTAAGGCAAAAAAGCAGGAGAACATCAATGATTGTTAATATTTGTCAAATCAATCTCAAACAAAAGTGCTCATAGTTTAGTATCAGCCGCTAAAAGTAACCTCTGTGATTGGCGTATCACGAACTCTATCAGGACCATACTTCTCTAGAAGTCCACGAGATACCTGTTAAGAAAACTAACAATGGTCATTATACCAACATACAAATATAGTGGCATTTGTAACATGCTACAACATTTCAGGATTCTGACTTCCAGAGGACCTTATAAGCTCCTTGATATTCTCCAACCTATAGAGTAAAATAGTGCCATTAGAAAAGTGAAACAAATAAGATATGAGGTTAACCACTTTATTAAATAATAGGGAGATTTACATATATACCACTCAATTCCTATATATTTCCATATGTAAAACCTAAACCTTAATTCTTTACATATATGTCAAATTACCTACGCACAAAAAGGTGTATTTCGATATTTACAATTTAAAGTAGTTGTATTTTTTATGTGATATGAAATATTTGGGTGGGTGATAGGTGCATCTCACTATTTACAAGTTAAAGTAGTTCTATTTTTGATGTGATATGAAATATTTGGGTGATAGAAATGTAAAAATTTTAGCTATTAGATATATAAATACATAGGAATTGGGTGGTATGTATGCGGTGATATGCATGCAAATGCCCCACAATAATAATATAACCTCTTCGCCCATGATGAAAACTTTTGGATCAGCTGCCATCTCCTCGTCTAGTGCGGAGTTCAGAGCATCACGTACTGTCAACTGCATAGATAATTTAAAATATCTAGTCTCAAGTTCTTGAAGAAAAATAAATGACTTGCAATACCCAAAAAGAAAAAAAGAAAAACTCAGAGAAAAAGAATCAGAGAGGTTACATAGCATTCACAATCCTGTAGTTATCATCTCATAGTATTGTTTAAGCAATCCATTATGCTTTACTAACGTTGTTTAATGTCCAGCAGAGATTACAGTTAAATATACTAAAAAACATGAAAAAATCAATAAAACCAACCAACAAAATGGAATTCATCAACCGCCAGTTTCCACTCTCAAATCATTGACTAGCCGCAATTAATTCTCTCAGATCCAACAATAGAAAGAAACAACTAAATTGATCTCTGAAATCAGAAACAACAGAGTACTCCAATAAATCAAGTGAAAAAAAAAAAGGCAGCGTCATTCATTACCTCTTTAGCAGCGGTTGAGTTGTTCTTCCCTGCAACAGATGCAGTAAATCCAGCCCTCTGGAGAGCTTGCCTCAAATGCTACAAAGACAAAATAATAATAAACTTTCCAATACAAAAACAATAATCGCATAGAAACCGCAAAAACCACACAGTTTCTGTTTAACTGAAAAAACTCGGGTTTTGCCTCCCAGCCTCTGCCTCACGACCGCCGACATCGTTCTGTCAAATAGAAACCAATAATCTCAGATCCTTGAAAAAAACAACGTGTTTGAACCTAGGCATTTCAAAAACTAGCAGATTGATCCACAAATTAGAATGTTATAAGACGTTAAATGAATGAGAAAGCGAAGCAAACCTAGAGAGCCAAAGACCTGCACTTCTAGATAAGAAAATTAACAGGGAATTGCAGAAAACAAGGTCAGATGGAGAAGGAAGGGAGGGTCAACTACCGGCCGCCGGGCGGTTAGAGAGAGAATTGAACTTAGAAATCGGGGTGGAGGAAAGGAAGAAGGGAATCCGAGTTCTCCTTCGTTCTACCGTCTGCAGAAATAGACCAAAGTTTTGCCCTTTATACGGAGTCATGGTTTTTCTTTCTCGTCAAACATTCCAACATAAAAAGGCTTGTCGCTATAAAATTACATATATTGCCATTGTACTTCCTTTTTGTAGGATGTCTTTTTTTTTTTAGGGTTTTGTATATGTGCGGCATTTATTTTATATTTTTGGCATCTATACATTATTATTTACTCCCCCAAATAGTCACATAATATATCATAGCCAGCAATGTTCTTTGGACATATCATAACTATAGCGAGGTCATATCTTGTAAGCCCTACCTCTCTATGTAGTTATAGTGGCCCTAGCTCTTTGTGGATGATTGACTCAGGCGAAGCCTGAGTTTTGGGCCTTGTTTGTAAATGTGTTATTCTCGCTACTTTTAGGATTTTTGAATAACTCATTTTGTTTATATGATCAATCGAATGTATATTTCTCCTATTTTCTGTCATTCAAATAGGTTGTTTGTGAAGTCATAGCTATGGATTTCATTTTTTTTATGTGTTAGGTGTGTACATCACTTTTGTGGATACTCGAATCACGTGAAGCCCTAGCTTTGATTTTCTTTTGAGTGATTTTTCTCTTCATATGTTTTATTTTAGAGCATTTATATATTTTTGTTGGTCAAATTTCTATTGTCAATATCTTCATATATATAATTTGAGAACATGTAGATACATAATATTTGAGTGACAAGCATGAAAAACTTCCTTATTTCTTTGGAATGATTACACTTAAATATCTAACTGTGAAAGCTAGTTATACTGTTTTACGTTCCTCCCAATTCCTGATTACTTATATACAATATCAACAAAAATACTATCAATTTTAAGTCTTAAAAGGAGAAGTGCATATTTCTTGCATGGTTAAGGTTGTATATATGTAAAACTTGCAATTTATGTTTTAGTTATGTACAGATGTATAAATTCTGAAGTCAAAGATGACAAATAGGGACAAATTTTGTACTTTTCTGAAATTAAAACTGACTGTCATATTATTCAATGCTTTTATAGACAAACTTTTGATTTGAAAGTTATGCTTGTAAATATAATTGTTTAGAAGTGAGATATGTGAATAGATAATACATTATAATTGTGTGACCTCAATAATTTGCATTACTAGCACACAACTCTTGTGTGTTTGCCCATATCTCACATCTACACTTTCATATTTACATGCATGCCACTATAGTTTTGTAAACCAATGAAAATGTGTATTTAACCTTTAAAAATTAGATATTTTTATGCACACAAAACATAAAACCCAAAAGTTTAGAATTAGGTTTGAAAACTATTGTGGTTAAGTTTGTATATATGTATGTTAACTTTTTTGAGAGCTGAATGATTATGTTTTTTAAATTATCCACAATATCTTAAATACTTAATTTATATTTTCTTTAAATTTATGCCCATTTTATTGATTTCTAACAATCATGTTTGAAACATGAGTTCAACGCACTCTTCAAATTTCAAAGGCAGCAACTTTACTAAAATATATTATAAAATGCAACTTGTAATGCCTGGGGTTTACAAACCATTCAGATCTCAACCGAGGAAAAAATTTTTGCAGTTGTTTCAGGAATCATACAGAATTTTATTGCAAGTTTTTAAGGTAGAATGATGAAAGAGAAGATGTTTGTTCTAACAAAGGATACACCAAGAGGAAATACTTTGAGGACACTATAGTCCACATCGACCCATTTATGGAATTTGCAATGTTTGTAAACCTAATCATTTTTTTTTCATGTGATTTTGTGATGCCACTAAAGTCCACAACGACCACATTTATGGACATTTGTTTTTCTTCTACTATTATTTTCTGAGAAATTATATATATATATATTTGGCCTTCATCTTGACCGCAATCAGTTTGGCATACCAATATGTATGCCCTCGTTGACATTTTCTTCATTGATATTTTTTAGAAGCGTTGAGATAGGATCTTTGTAGGCCTTCTAATACCTACAAGTGAAATATACAAATTTAGAAACAATAACATTAAATATAGATATTTGATACGTGGTTAGCATGTTATTAATTTTCTTTGAGTTTATGTTAATATATTTTTATTTTTATGTTTCTTTTTATGTTTATTTTTTTTGTTTTTTTTTGTGTTAATTGTGTGACTTGTGCAGGTAACATACGAGTTGTGAAAACAAAGGGCTGGCGCTTTTGCGCCAACGGGGTGCTTTTGTGCCCATCTAAATTCATACACAGCCTACTCAAAGAAAGAGTTGGGCATTTTTTAGCCCAGTAAGGTTGCTTTTTCGCTCATTACTACTTACAAGCACTCTCCAATCTAGAAATAAGCTCCTAACATGGGCACTTTTGTACCCATTTACATTTAGTGCAAACTGAAAGTTGAGCGCTTTTGCACCCATCATAGAAACTCAAGCATCCATTTCATTAAAACATGTCACTTTTTGCGCTTGACCACAACATCTTAGCGCTAAAGGGAGTTATGCACAGTTTCTCTGACATGGCGATCTAGGGGCCAAATGAAAGAAAAGCATGAGATGTTGGATTGAAGATTGATCGATGAATGCTTGGGGTATAAGGGACAATGATAAGGAAGATGAAGGGATCGCTCTAGCATTTTTTTACTTCTCTAGTTCTAGTGCAAGAGTTTGAGATTTTTATATTCTAATAAATCTATGTGAGTGTGAGAGAACTTATGTGTAGTTTAGTAATAAGCATTGGAGAAGATTTGGAGCAAGATTGTGGAGATGTTTCATTACATATTTGTTATTTATTTTCTCAATCAAACTCTTGTAATTTGTTTTTGTCTAATGCATCAACACATGGGTTTTGTATTTCAGAGTATGTTTAGGAATTAAACTTCCTAATTCTCTTCTGATTTGATGAATAGAAATTCTAGGTATTGATGAATGTTTTGACTTGGTGATACACCAAACTAATGTGCAGTTTTATGTATATATTTTATGCTTAAATTTGATGATATTGCACTTTAAAGAAGGGTATTTTCATATTTTGTTACAGATATATCAATTTTAGGTATTTGGAGCAAAAAGGAGCAAAAAGAAGGAAATTTAGAGCCAAATGGAGCTTTTCAACATCCTGGCGCCAGAGGCGCCATAAATTGGCGTCAGAGTCGCCATTTTACAGAGAAGTGGTACTAGAAGCGCCAAAATTGGTGCCATAATCCAGAGAACATTGTGGAATTTAAATACACTGGCGCCAAAAGCGCCAGAAATGCCAGAGACGAATTAAAATGGAGTAAGGAAATTAGTGAATATTTTTTAGCAGTTCTAGAAGGCTCCAATCAATTCAAACACCCCATAGAGTGATTCAATGCATCTAGATACTTTGAAAGACTGTTAAATAAAGGGATGTGTCTCTTAGATGAAGGGACTTGTCTCTTGGTGTGAAGAGGTGTGTCTTCTGGAAAAAAAGAGAGAATTTTGAATTTGTTTTGAAATGAAGGCTGACCCTAATTAAAAAGAGAGGAGTCTAGAGAAGAAAGGGGGGCGTGCGTGAGGTGAGAGAGAGAGAGAAGTCTTGGGAGAAGAGAGGATTTTCGTCTAGAGCTATAAGAGGAGAGTGAATGTGAAAGATTTCTTCTTCATTACGTTTCTAAGAGAGAATTAAGTGTGATTGTAAAGGGAGGAAACGCTTAAAGGGAACTTCAAGAGATTTACTTAAGAAAGAGTGATTTACTTAAGTAAGAGTGTGAGAAAAGTTGTGTTCTTTTCTTTCATTGTATTGTAAACTTATTTTCCTATATAAAATCTAAGTTTTGTCGTATTATTCTCATGAATTCTGAATAATATTTTTTATCCTTCTTCCTACAATGAGATATAATGAGATATGGTTTTGTATATGGTTTTGTGAAGAATTAATTTTGTTGTGTAAGGTTTCAAATGTCAATAATTTGTGATGATTCAAACTCTGATCTTCATTTACTTTTTGATCTGGTCAATTGAAATATTAAAATTTATTGAGAATTATAAGATCCGAAAGGGTTATGTTTTCGACAATAAGGTAAGAGTCACATTCAATTTCATGGGTGAAATGTAGTCCATGAAGTTGAGTACAAATAAATAGGGAAATGTACTTTGATGAGCGCAGAATTAAAGATTTTAGGGTGACAAACTAAAATCCATAATTTTGTCCAGTTGTTTGGAAACTAAAGCGAGATTGTGAGCCCTCAGGGGACGGAGAAATGAGAGATCTGAAGTGGCAGCTAGTATCATCTCAACCTAACAACAAATTTAGGGACCAAACTCTAGATTAGTCAATGTTCTTTATGCACTCTCAGAGGGTAATGAATATGATTGCTCCTATTTTGCACAATACATTTTTATACGTATTTTAATTAATTTTAATTACCTCATAATCCATAAACTTATTGTAAAGGGGAAGAATGTTTTCTTAAATTTAAAATCTTCATTACAAAACTTTGTTTTAGTCTTAATAAGTTTACTTTTGAAGTTTAGCAAATAGTTTAGTTAACTTAGTTCTTTTAACTGCATTTCATTTAGCATGTTGTAAATTTACTTTATATTTGTTTTGCATATTTAAGTTTTGTAGTTTGAATATTGTGTTTTACATTATAACTATAAGAATTTCCAACTTCCTATGGGATCGATACTTAGGACTACATTAGAGTCATTTATTACTTGAGCGATATGTATACTTGCGTTATTATTACGGTTTGACAGTTTAATGATTTTAAAAGATAAAACTATTTATTTTGAATTTATTTTTATTGTGATTGAACTGCATATTTACTAATTGTGGTGTCGTGTGTATATTGCAGCATTGAAAGATATTTACAACGCACCAAAAACCGCACATCACTTGGGCAATGTTGTGTTACGGTGAAAATTGATCTTTCGCATTTTTGTTTGCATGCAAATTGGTCGCTTGTTTTCTAAACTTGTCTTATGATCTTTGTGATATGTAAGTATTTTAATTGGAACATCTAAGATTAATTTCATTAAACTCTGAGAATAAAAATATCACTCAAAGTTTAGTTCTAATGTGTAATATATGTTTATCTCAGAAAGTTCATTG